CATCAGAGATATATTAGTATTCGCTTATCATGAGAGTGATGAATGATTTATACTTGCATCATTATTCAAGTAACAAATAATTTGAGCTTGTGTCATCAGATATATTAGTATTTGCTTTATCATTCGAGTGATGATTAGTTCATAAGTTTGTTATCACATTTGCTTTGTCATTTAAATAACAAGCATTTTGTATTTGTTTTATTATTTTTAAGTGATAATAGAAGAGTATTCTTCTTTTATAATTATTATATAATATTTTCAAAATTAAATACCCTTGATGACATACCAGAAAAATAGGTAGCCAACTTCATTTTTCTTATAATATATTACTGAAGTTAGCTATTATGATCAGATATCCAAAAATATACCAATAAAATAGGTAGCCATCTTTCATAATTATTATAATATATATATCTGAAGATAGCTACTCCAAAAACATATTATTAGAGAGTATTTTTCTTCCATAATTATTATATAATATTTTTGAAATTAAATACCCTTGATGATATATCTGATATATATATACACTAAGATGATGTGTTCTTTTACTTTTTATATATAAGACCTTGTCTATGCTTCATATAATAAATCTGCAGATTAGATCATCTGAACATATACCAGAAACTATATCATTAAAAAAGTATTCTTCTTTTATTATATATATATAATATATCTGAAATACCCTAACTACATATCTAAAAATATGCTTAAAAACATATCATAAAATAGATATTCTTCTTTCATAATTTATATAATATATTTCTGAAGTTAAATATCTGATCATATATTTTTTGCTATCACTTACTATTGCAGAGCAGGCCATAGGTGATTCTCTGAATCATGGTTCTTTGAACCTACATCTGTACCTGGCCTAGTTTCTTAAACCTTTTCCTATGATACTCCGATCTTGCTCGATATTTTTTAGCATATATATTACAAAAGTCATAAGTAGATAATGTTAATTTATTACACTTTTTGCAAGATACATGTGCAAAGAATTCCCAATAAACTTTACACCCTTTAGGCTAATAGCAACCTTGATTGCAAACTTCTTCAGTCCTAAGAATATAGGAACAATGATAAAATGCCATAGCTATATATTAGTTAATAAATATATTGATAATTATACTTTGAAATTAATTTTCATTTTAAACTTTTTTCTTGCAAATAATATATTACCAATACTATTATAGCTAAAGAAAATATCAATACAAAAAATAAGCACACAAAGCATACAACTCGAGTGATACAGGGGCAGGGAAACTGATAACTATTCAAGTGACTCAGATGTCTATAGTGATAATATATCTGAATGTGAATTAGAAAATTGCAGTAATTATGGTTTCAACTATAAGCCAAATATTAAAACAAGTACTATTAAGTCTTCATAATTCCAATTTTCTAAAGTAGAAGAACAAAAGTTCAATAAGACATATATTTTATAACAAGAAAAATTCAATAATAAATTTACAAAAAAAGACTGACTAAATAAAATTTGCAAAATTGCCTCCTCGCCTGCTAGAGTTATGTTAAATATTAAAGGCTTGTTGGAATATATATATTTATAGGACTATCTCTTATCTAATTATGAAGCAAAAGAAGGAATCGGTCTGCTCAATGTATATGCATGGAAAGAATTGATTAATAGATTAGTTATTCAAGTAAAGCAAGATAGTTATTACAAATACTCAGTTGTAGATATATCTCAGAAGTATATAGTTTATCTGGAATACATGAATGTATTAATGGGCAATGACCACTAAGGGCTGTAATTGATATTGATGCATCACAAGAAAATATAGAATCTGAAAAAGTTAATGCAAAAGATGTATTTATTTGTATTTGTTGTTCATATATAAAAGCATTATATATGATTCTTAATTATAGCTGAGAAGAGATTTTTGAAAGATTAGTAATTGACACATTTTCCAATTTCAGTAAATGCAGTTACCATTATCTGTACATACCAGTTTTCCTTATTAATTATCAGGAACTCAAACAATTTACAAAACTGGTACATAAATTAATAGGAGAAAAATATGGTAAGTTTATTAATCGAGGATTACCTAGATGAAACTTTAATCTCTATTTTATTGGATCAGCAAAAAAGATCATGTAAAGTGTATACTCCAGTTCTTACTAGATAATAGATGAGATGAACTCAATCATGCAAGAGTGCAACCACCTGATAGTGCAGAATTCAAAGTAAGACCTTGCATACTTAGTGCAGAAAAAATAAATAATTAGAAGAAAATAATAGTAGGATATGATTCATTAAAAAAATACACGAATTAAGTTCTGCAGAAATATTTTGATTATTTTGGAAGCTGGAATATCAAAGAAAAAAATTCTCAATATTTTATATACTTTAGCTGAAAAGCATGTCTAGAATGTTCAATTTGTAAATGCACACATAACAAAGATCAGCAGTGGTATGGTTGTCTATATGGATATGGATCATTTGTTATGAAATATTTTCAACAAAGTAAAGATGAATAAGGGGTAATTTTCAATGACTCATCTATTGCAGAAAAAATCTAACAGAAAAATAAAAATAATATTTTACTACTGGTTATACATAAGATAAAGAGTCCAAAATTTTTATAGCCTTTCTTAAAAATGCCAGCTTGGATTAATTGTGATTCACCTCTTATTGCAACAGAAGTTTATAAAGAGCAATATGTAGAACCTTTATCTAATGAAGGGAATATATATGTAGGCTTACCTTGGGAGACAGGAAAAACTCATACCTTAGAACACCTTACTATTTCTGATAGTATAAATTTGCTTGCTTTATCTACATGATATACTTATTCTAATGCTATTACTACAAGGCTGAATCTTAAATCATATCATAATATCAATACTAAAGATATAAACCTCCCAGATTATCAAAGAGTGTGTGTCAAATAGAAAGTCTACATCACATTATCAATAAATATAAATGCAAGAAAAAATGTAAGTGTTCTCCAATACCATATGATTTATGACTAGATAAAGTAGTATCTGTAATTAGTCAAGCCCATACTCACTTAGCAGGTCAATTAAGAGAGCATTTATATAAGTTAATTCATGAAGTGAGGCATAATATTGTTATAAATAATAACCTTACTGATCTTAATATAGAATGGATTAAAAGCCTTTGTAAAAATAAATCCTTCTAAGTTATCCACAACACTTACCAACCTCAGAAAAGTAAAATATTCTGCTTAGTATCTAATAAAGAAACTATATTAACCGAACTTTGAAATTGAATAAAGCAGATATCTTTATTACCTTTCGATAAACAAAAAAGCGCATCACTCATCTGCCATCTCAGAAAAAATGTTCAAGAAATCATTTGTGCTCTTAAAACTGATTTTCCTGGGTTATGTATTAAAAATTATCATAGTAAATCCAATCTAGTAGAAAAAGCTTATGATTTTAGTAATATAGAAGAAGCATAGAAAGAGGTGGATCTTGTTGCATATACTAGCACTTTAAAAATAGGCATTTTTTGCATAAATCCCAAGTTTGAATGAGCATTCTGTCTTTTTAATAGTTATATAAAAACAAATACTAGGACTAATTAGATGTTATTCTGTATGCGAAGTGTTAAAGATTATATATATTATATTGAGCAAAGATTATTAAATGTTCCAATTACAGAAGAGAAGTTATTTAATTAATTATTGAAAGCAAAGTGAAAATGTCTTTGTCAGGAACTCCAGAATAGAGGGGTATTTCCAAATGTAGAGTCTTTTATTTGAAATAAAGATGTCCCAACTATCCAATTATAGGTAGTATATATGTTGAAGAAATTCCAAACTCATTGCTTATTTGGATGAAGAATGGTAGATTTTCTTATAAAAGCAGGTATGGTCATTTTAATAATAGAAGCTACTCCTAAATCTGAAGAAGATTCTGTATTATTAACTAAAATAGTAAAAATATGTTCTTTTGTTATTAAAGCAGAAGAAATTTCAGATATTGCTAATACTAATATTCTTAATCACAAGATGGCTAAGCATTTAGAAAACAAACCAAAGAAGACTTTAAAAGAAATGCATGCTTTAAACCAGTATCATATTGCAGAATGTTATAGGATACCACTCAAATCTCTGACTGAAGAATTTATTATAGATTATAGTAAATATGATGAAATGAAATGGTTTAGAAATCTTTGGAAATTACATGATACAGATATTGATAATAAGACTACAGTTAAGGCAATTACTCATGAAGATTATAGAAATGATAAGTGCACAACTGTTACTAAAACTAAAAAACATCAAACCTGTCTGGAATTAATAAAGACTTGCACACCTATTAGAGATATCGACGATAGAAGCAGATACAAAGCAGATGATGTTAAAAGATATCTAAATACATTCGAATCAATACAATACTTTCAAAATTTAGTACCAAAAATGGCTTGGGTTTTTGATAATACAGATGCATCTTCTAGTGCTAAAAAATCTGGCTTAAAATCAGATAGAGCAAAACTTGGTTTATTAAATTTAGAACTTTATGCAACTTATGGTTCAAAACTTAAAGCTACAAATAACAAGCATACACATTACCATCTAGTAGATATGTTCAATAAAAAAAAGTGCACCAAAGTTATCATCATACCAAACAGATGAAGGACAATTCTATGAAAATGATGAGGATATGTATTACAGATATAGTAAACTCTCATCTGACAAACTAGAGATTGCTTCCAGTTGTGATATACAGTTGCAAGAAGATATGTTTGATATCTGTTAATATATTTATCTATTTAATAATGACCTATGATATATCTTACAAAGGAGGTTTTTGTGATGCTTAAAAAACACGTTTGAAAAACATTTCTTCTCACAGCTATATTATATCACAAAAGAGATTTTTGTATTATCTAAAATGTTATATACTAAAAATTCTATTTATTGTAGACAATGAATTTGAAATTCGAGGTTTTACCTCTTCTTCGAGCCTATTCAGAAACTTGGAAAATAAGCTCTTTTTGTCTCATTCAATAATTCAATGAATGAAATCGATCAGAATGTTTTGAACAATAACCTATAATGGATATAGTAGGTTTTTCACAAATACTACAGAGGAATTTCTTTATATTTCACTCATATAAACTTTAATGTCTGTAACAACCTGTAGGTCACTAGCATTTGTTTCTGCAAACAGATCCATTTTTTTTAATATTAGGACAAATAGCACGATTCATAAAAGTATTTTAGAATATAATATATAATATGTATAAGATTCAATTATAAAAAACTATTTAAATATTTTGAATAAATAATGAGATAAATTATCTTTACTTACATATACCACATATATATATACCACATATATACCTTATACCCAATAGAAACATCTCAGAAAGTAGTCAACTTATTAACTAAGAAAGAGATTGATCACAATAAACCAACATTTTGCAAACTAATGCACAATAGTTTTAGGTATGTAAAAGATTTAGCAGAATTTTTACAATTACTAGATATTATAGATTATTATTATCTTGAACAAATTAGATTCATGAATGCTCTGTCCTATTTAGCTATAATACTACCAATTAATATAATAAAAAATAGACCTGATATTTACAAAAAATGTCTATAAGTATAGAAAAATACTGGAATCTATTCCAAGCATTATAAAAAATAAAACATAATAATAAACTGATATATTATATAGTCTGAGTAGCCACAACTCGAAGATATAAATTTTTTTCATTATATCCTATATATTAATAAATTTCAAATCAACATCCTACTTATTCTATAGGTATGCATAAACTCTTTTTTTTGAGTATAAGAGGAAAAAGTATAATTAATTTCAAATTGAAAAAAATAAATAGGTTAATCTATAATCACATTCTACTTATCAATATAGATTATTTATATATCTATCATAGCAACTGTCTAAAAAACTAGAAAACCCAAAACTAATAGCTTTACTTTCATTTTGGATCAGGTTCTCAATAAATATAACCTATCAGCTAAATCAAACCTGCTTCAATTATGTGCTTATGCTGATGAGCTTAGTACTATGCTACCAAATTGGAAGGTTTGTAAAGATGTGAAAGAGGCTTTCTGTTGGCACTTATTCAAAGAAAATCAAATAGAAGCACTGGTTCCAAATAACAAAAAGAAAAGGCTTACTATCAAGAAAAGAGCTCAATATTAAGCAAAAACTAAAGATGTATAGAATATTTGGTTACATGTTTTAGACTTAGCTGTATCAAAAAATAATATAGATAATGCAATTGTGACAGCCAGTTCTCATGTTTTACAATTTCGTAGAAAACTGAGATTGGTTCTGAGCAAATTTATATATATGAAAAATTACCAGAAGTTACTCAAGTTTCTAATAAAATTCAAAAGAGGCAATTCAAACAGTGATTATTCAATCCACCTAAAACTCCCAAACACTTTTTCTTAAAGGAAGAACTTAGAAGAATTCAAAATATCAATACTACTAAAATCCCTAATATGCAAGATTTTGCAGATGTAATTATAATGTTGAGTATAAGACTCATCGAAATTGTTACTCTTCATATTATCTATTATAAACCTAGTGAATCGAATCCTTCTAAATAGTACAAGCCTAGTTATTCTTGGTATTGTATTAGGTATATTAAAAATAAAGGAAAAGCAAAAAATAATCCTGAATCTTGGCAATTTCTATCTATGGAAAAGAATTCAGAACATGCAAAAGAATTGCTTATCTGGATCCAAGATGCAATAGCAACTGAAAAGTTATGCAATCCTATCTATAGTATTAATAGAAAATGCAGTATATGAGTATTTAGTAAATTTTTAAAACTATATGATATTACAGCCAAAAGATTAAGAAAAATCAAAAGTAAATATGCTTCTAGAATTTATGATGGTCAAAATCTAACTTTGCAACATCTCAAATTTGTTAGCAGAGTTGCAATGAGACATAAAATAGATCATCATAATTCTGGAATATATTATGCCGAAAGTAATACTTCAGATTCTGATTTTGATGCAGATTCAGAATCTAAACCTAAAGCCCTAGTTCTCATATTCAAGGCAATTAATGAGAATACTTCTAAAATTGAGGATATCGATGACTTATATAGGAGTATCTAGATTAGTTCATAACTTATTTATTCATTATAAATAAACAGTTCACTATCATTACTATTTTTAAATTACTAATTTGTAAATTATTTATGATTACCAGAAGATCAATCATACTTGGTTCATACTAAATAATTTGTAAATAAATTGATTACTGAATCTGAAATTAGTTTTTTAAAAATCTGTAAATTAGGTTTGTTAGTTATAAGAAATAAACTATATAAAAAAGCTAAGTATAAAAAAATTTTGTTATAAAAACTTATTTGTTTATAGCTCATAATAACGTATACTAACTTCTCAAATAAAATTTTACTCTCAAATATGACTACTAATTCTACATCTCAAAATATTTCATGTCTCGAAACACTTATATTAAATGTTCTTAAAAATTCATCTTCAGAAAAAATTGCAAATGATATTAATATACCTGAATTAGATCCATGTTTTTTATATAACCAAAAACTTTTTTTATATGAAATAAAAAAGCCAATTACTTTACTTATCTGTGGCCATCTATATCATCATAATTGTATCAAAAGTTCTATAAAAATTAATTCAACATATCCAAGACCCAATTATAATAAGGAGATAGAATTTATGAATGTCAACATATCTGAAAGTCAGAATATCGATTTAATGAAAATGTTCTCTACAATATTTAAAAACCCTCTGTTTACCTAGAATAATATATCAAAAAAACATACTAATGATCCTAAATTATTTTCAGATAAACTATCTAACAAAAAAGCAAAGAAGTTGGTTAAAAAAGAATCACATATATTAAAAGATCTTATAAATGAATTATTTACTAAACCCGAAACTTCACAAGTTTCTGTAACTAGAAAAGAAAATGCTGTTAATTTTGATGATTTATATAATAATATAACCAATACAAAAACTCAAAATAAAATTATAAATCAAGATCTTATAATCTATTATTATCTTTTTAGTAAAGCTCATCAGAACAGCTTGAGCATCACAAGAAATCAAATCTCCCATATGCTTCTTTGTTACTGGTTAATAAAGAAATTAGAGAGCAAATTCCCAATATTACAGATACTATACATTGTAGAAGAAAATAGAAAGATTACGAAAGCTTTATACACTTTTTATTAATATTGAAAAAGATAAAATTCAAAGAGTTAAATCTTTCAGTGCTTTGACCATTTCCAAATTAAGGAAGGAGGATATTGATAATATTATACTTAGTATTTTAACACAGAAAAAATAATCTACTGCGCCAGTCACGTGGGGTCACATGTCCTGACCTCAGCGGTCAGGAAGTTTTATATTTTATATTATACAACTCACAAATAAAATTATTAATATGCATGCTCTTTAATTAGTATCTTGTTTATTTGTATCATGTATTTACATATTCCCAATGATATCTACCAGTATAAGTTCGATATCCTCTGCAAACCTTCGAGATACTTGATTGATCAATCCCAGTTATGCGTTGTGCTTCAAT